ACTTCATCAGGACAGCTAGTGGGGCCAGGAGAACCACCTTGGCACAGGGGTGAGGCCTCTGCTCTGAGAGCAGGCCGCAGAGGTGGGAGACACACAGAGGGTGCCCCCAGAGGAAGCAAGGACAAGGAGCAGCCGCAGGAGGAGCAGTTCCACGAGCGTGTGCTTCCCGGACTGTGGCAATAGTGGTCAAGCCCTTCACCCTGCAGCCACCCCTAGGGCTCGGGGTTATCGCCTGTCATGGAGACCCTGGGCGATGCTCTGGAACTGCTCCCCATAAAGCCAGGCAGGACTTTGGGGAAGTCTCCTTTCTCTGAGCATCCTGTCTGTAGGACACACAGCTCACACAGCTTCCACCTTCCTGGGTCTGACCTCGGAGCATTCAGCATCCTCTGCCCCTCCGTGCGCTTCCCACAGCGAGTCTGCTCAGGCAGGGCTCCTGGGGAAGCCAGAGGGTCCTGCACCCCAACTTCGCAGTCAGATGTGACTCTCAGCCAGCCAGTAAAACAGAGGTTTATTAGACAGGAACATGGTCTAACACAGAGCTTGTAGGTGCAGAGAACAGGACCCCTCAGCTGGATCCATTCTGGGGGGCAGTGAGCCAGACAACCACGTCTGCCCTTCACTCCATGTCTCCAGCCAGCCCCAAACTGAAACTCCCTCCAGCCCCTCCTCCCCTGGGCTTTGTTCCTTTCCCGCCAATCCTTTGGCTCTCACCTTGCAGGGGGGAAGGGCCCAGGCCATCAGTTGCCAGGAAATAGGGTGTCGGCCATTCTCTGTGTCCAGACCCCTGCACACACCTGCCCTCTAGGGCTCTGCAACGATCATACACCCTCACCCCACTACCTAGATACTCAAGAACTGCCTAGGGGAAACTGAGCCACCCCCACACCATTCAGAGGAAACATTAAGAACAGTCCCACTTCGTCACACCACCTCCAGAAGGAAAGGCCCCCAGCCAATCCCCCAAATTACATCCACTCCAGAGCCTGGGGGAGTGCAGCAGGGCACATGTGCAGTGTCCCTCTCCCCCCCAGGGGGAACCCTCCCAGCTGGAACACACAGGGCCTGTAGGCTGGGGTATGGAGGAACCGCTCTTGGCTTGCTTGTAGAGCGTGCGTGGGGCATCGGTTGCACTGTGAGGGGCAAAGCCCGTTGCCAACTGTGCCCACATATCTATTCAGGGGACACCATCACAGGGCCTAGTAACATCAGCCACACTATCAGAGGCTCGTTCACCTGCACATCTACCAGTGTGATATATGCCATCATGTGTCAGCAGTGCCCCTCTGCCATTTACATTGGTCAAACTGGACAGGCTCTACGTAAAAGAATAAATGGACACAAATCAGATGTCAAGAATTATAACATTCATAAACCAGTCGGAGAACACTTCAATCTCTCTGGTCATGCAATCACAGACATGAAGGTCGCTATCTTAAAACAAAAAAACTTCAAATCCAGACTCCAGCGAGAAACTGCTGAATTGGAATTCATTTGCAAATTGGATACTATTAATTTAGGCTTAAATAGAGACTGGGAGTGGCTAAGTCATTATGCAAGGTAGCCTATTTCCCCTTGTTTTTTCCTATGCGCGCCCCCCCCCCCCCCACCAGACGTTCTGGTTAAACTTGGATTTAAACTTGGAGAGTGGTCAGTTTGGATGAGCTATTGCCAGCAGGAGAGTGAGTTTGTGTGTGTGTGTATGTCCGGGAAAAAGGGGGGCGGGTGAGAAAGCCTGGATTTGTGCTGGACATGGCCCACCTTGATTACCATGCACATTGTAGGGAGAGTGGTCACTTTGGATGAGCTATTACCAGCAGGAGAGTGAGTTTGTGTGTGGGGGGGTGGAGGGTGAGAAAACCTGGATTTGTGCTGGAAATGGCCCAACTTGATGATCACTTTAGATAAGCTATTACCAGCAGGACAGTGGGGTGGGAGGAGGTATTGTTTCATGATCTCTGCGTGTATATAAAGTCTGCTGCAGTTTCCACGGTATGCATCCGATGAAGTGAGCTGTAGCTCGCGAAAGCTCATGCTCAAATAAATTGGTTAGTCTCTAAGGTGCCACAAGTCCTCCTGTTCTTTTTGCGAATACAGACTAACACGGCTGTTACTCTGAAAACTGTGAGGGGGAGGACTCCAGGGCTGGAGAGTGGGGGGCTGCAGGTCGGGGTTACAGATGAGCACAGCCCTGGCTGGTTGGTACCCCTGCTCTTGGAGCTCCGCAGTGGTTCTCTCCTTATCGGGCTCTGAGCTACCCAGGCAGCTGGTGGCAGCCCTGTAGTGTTCAGGTGGGACAGGAATGTGGCTCGGACTTGTGCCTGAGCCTTCAGGAGACTGGGAGCTGTTGAGGCACAGCTGGATCTCAGGAGCTGTCTGTCTGCCAGCTCGCATCCCCTCCCCAACCCTGGCCTCTCCCTATTCAAGTGCCCCCCCACCTTTTCCTTCCACTTCTCCCCCTCTGCTGGCCTCTTCCTGCCTTGGCTGGGGCTGCGATCTTAGAGGCTCAAGTGAAATGCATCCCTGCCACCGGGAGCTGGTTTGTTTTCCTCTCCTCGGGTGACCCTCAGGCACATGGCTGGCTGCAGTCTGAGTGGCCTGTCACTGCCCATGGCACACAGCCACTAAGGAGGTGCTAGAGAACGACTTGGGGGCTGCCCCCTCATCCCACCCTGTGCTGTCCCTTGCTCGGGGCTACCTGATGGGGCTGATCCTGGCCTTGGCTGGGCTGTGGGAAATGGAGCCAGCCATGCCTGCTGGGAGGGACCAGAAGGTCTGTATAGCAGCACACCCCAGCCCAGCACCTTGCCCCTGGCTGGCAGGCTCTGCAGAGAGGCTGACGGCTGAAGAGCCAGCCCAGTTCCGGGAAGCTGGCCCTGCCGCAGCCTGTACTGAATCCATTCCCGACAGCCCGTAGGCAGGGCGGCTTGTGCCCTGTGTGACTGGATTGGCAGCGGGGCCGGGGCCTCCCCCAGGGAACATGAGCCGCTGCTCTGGGAACGTGACGCAGGTTCCTCTCCTCGGGACATGTTCACATTCCTCCACCCATGCCAAGTGCGAGCGTCTCATCAGCTCGCTGGGACTGGGACACGAGGCTGCCTGTGCCAGCGTCCAGGTCCTGGAGGGGAGGAGACGAAGCTGCACCCTTCAGCCATTGCAGGGGGCTGCGGAGGAGTCGGAGCTTTGAGAGTGGGAGGATCCCCAGGGAAGGGGTCATTCCTGGCCCTCTCTCAGACCTGTTTCTCTGAGCAGCCCCCTGGGCTCTGTGCTGGGCTCCCACTGCTCAGCACCAGGAATCCCTACAGCTCTGCAGAGCTGGGCTGAAGGGCCCATTCGAGAGCACGTATCGGGCCAGTGCTTGGTGCAGAGAGGTGGGGTCAGGACTCCTTGGCCCGTCTGTCCTCTCCTCTCCCTCACTGCAGTGTTGTTAGCTGTGCTGGCCGGAGGAGGGTCTCCAAGTGTGCGGCGTTAGCCCCTCTCTCCCTGTGTGTAGACCCCCGGGCCTCCTCGCCGTGCTGGATGGGGGGTGTTAAACAGGCTGTGTAAGTGCGTTGTGCGCCCATATGCATGAGCACAGACATGCCTCCCCATGGCTGGCCTCGATCCGTTCGTATTGTTTTCTAAATGGCGCCCAGGCCCCGGAGCAGGCTGTCCCCTGCTGGCACCAGGACAGCCTCCCGCTGTCTCCTCCCTAGCAGGGCCTGGGGCTCAGCAAGCCAAACCCCAGAGAGAGCTGACCCCTCCCTTTGAACCCATCCACCTCAAACCCTTGGGCTGGGAACCAGTCAGATTCCACAAGCAAGTCAGGGCTGGTTCCAGTCCCACTGGCCCGTCAGCTCGGGTACTGCAGGCAGGGCCGTCTCTAGCCTTTTGGGTGCCCTACAAAGCCCCCCAGGCCTCCCCGCCCCTGGGGTCTGGGAGGCAGGAGCTGTGGGGGGGCACTTTTGGGGGCCCCACAGGCCCAGAGTGGCCGGGGGATTAGCGGGGGACTGGGAGCAGCCCGCTCCGCTTCCCTCACCCTGGCCCCAGCTGTATCGCTTGGGAGGAGGGATCCCCCGCTCACTGGCAGCGGCGGGAAGTGGAGCAGCCCAACTCCAACCCACTCTACTCCGCCAGCTCCCAGCCATGACGCTCCGCTTCCCGCCACCGGAGAGTGTGGGGGGGGACCTTTCCCCAACCCCCCTTTCCCCTGAGCTACATGGCTGGGGCTGTGTTGCTCCGCTTCCCGCCACTGGTGAGTGTGGGGGGCATCTTTTCCCCAACCTCCTCTCACTCACCGGCAGTGGGAAGTGGAGCGTCGCGGCTGGGAGCTGGCGGAGTGGAGTGGGATGGAGCCAGGTTGCTCCACTTTCCACCGCTGCCGGTGAGTGCAGGGTTGCTGGGGGAAGAGGTGGAATGGGGGCAGGGGAGGAGCAGGGGGGAAAGGTAAGAGGTGGGGCGGAGGGAGTTGTCCAGGACCCCACACCCTCTAGGGACGGCCCTGCCACTTGCAGTGGGTGCAGCCCACGGAGCGGCCGGTCGAGGGATAGGGCTGGTCGCCGGAGCTGGTGCTGCTGCTTATGCAGCACGCAGCTGCCTAGGGTGCCATGAAATTTGGACAGTTTGGTGCCCCAGATTTCATGGTGCCCTACGCAGCTGCGTATGCTGCGTATGCCTGAGGATGGCCCTGACTGCAGGAAGTGGGGCTGGGGGCTCAGAAGGAGGCACGGTGCCCGCAATGCAGGGCAAGGAGACATGGGGCTGGGCTGTCAACCTGGGCACTCTGAGCCGATATCCAAAGGGTGGAAATCTCGTCCTCCTGTGCCAGGACCCTTCCTGACCTAACATGCCAGGTCTGCTGTATGCTGCTTTCCACCCCAGGGGTGCCCTGTCCGTAGCGCAGGCCGCGCTTTGGGATGACAGGCCGTGTTGAAGTGTAAAATATGCTGGAGTTGAGGGAGCAGCTGTCTAGCCCCTGCTGTGACCTACTGCACTGACTGTACTCTCTCTTTGCCTGGCAGAGGGAAGAGGAGCTGGAGGAGAACCGGAGCAAGGACGAGAAGCAGGAACCAGGGACAGCCACGAGGAAAGCAGGGCGGCCTGGCAGGAAGCGCAAACATGTCCTGGTGAGTCTGAGAATGCGAGGCGGCTCGGAGTCCTGCCAGCGGGGCGCTGTCTGGGCTGACGGTGCTGGAGAGAGGGGCGGTGGACTGAGGGCTCTGAACCGGAGGAGAGAGCCTGGCTCGTTGGCACGGCTTGTGGGAGTATGGCTCGTGTATGTCTTGGGCTTGTGGCATGTCACGTGGAGCTTTGCACTCCAGCAGCTCAAGGGCAGGGCTTCCTTGGATGCTGTGAAGAGTGAGAAAGGGAACCTAGGAGCCCATGCCCTACAGGAAGGAACGTGCCACTTGTATAGGATTCCGTCACCATCTGGTTTGGAGGAAGGGAGTCAGGAGAGCCGTGCAGGAGCAGAGATGCTGCGGGAAGGAGCTGGCGGGGAGGCTAAGGTAGGAGCGCCCGACCTGGTTCGGCATTGCAGCTCACAGTTTCTGTGGAGAGGTGGCATCTCTGCAGACTACATTTCCCAGCATTCAGTGGGGCTAGGCTGCTTGGGTGGGACTTAAGCCGCACCTCCACTGAGGGGATGAAAGTACCCGTGCCCTGCTCTGTTCTGTGATGGTCAGGTGTGTCCTTTGGGCTCCTAGTGATCTGCCAAGGGGGTTCTCGCTCAGGGAAAGTCGGGGGGCCGAGTAGATGGGTTGCTGTGTAAATGCACCAGAGCAGTGCCCCAGACAGCCTTCCCACGGGGCCCTGCCGTACCTGGGGCTGGGCTAGCGCCAGGAGGCTTGCGGAGCCCCCTGGGAAGGCTCAGTGACGGGGGACGAGCCAGACGGAGACGCCAATAGCCAGCAGGCAAGAAGCTGCTGAAGTGCAGGTGCGGGTTTCACCCCATCTCTCTGGCCTGCTGTGCAGAGATGCTGGAGACCTCTCCCAGCTGCTGCTGACACACCCAGCAATACCTGGCCATAGCTCCTTACCCCTCTGTAGCATGGGGGCGGGTCAGTCCCTCTACCGCTCTGTTACACAGGTGGAAACTGAGGCACGGAGCTGTTGTGACTTGCCCAAGGCCAAGAGGAGAGCCAGTGGCAGGCCAGAGACTAGCACCCGGACACCTCGGTTCCTGGTCGTCTAGCCCGGCCAGTGCAGGGTGCTCTCTTGCTCCCTCTGTAGGTGCTTCGCCTTTCCCTGTCTCCCCTAACGAAGAGAGGTGACCCCTCTGCCTCTGCTTTGGAGCGCACAGGCTGCCAGCCCACTGTGGGGTCCAAGCGGTACCTAGGACACTCCGGTGGTGTCCAGGGTTGGCTATAGCAGCTGCAGTAACAAGGCATATTGGACTTCTCAGTTTACAGAGCGGCTGTGGGTTCCCTCCCCGAGAAACCTTCCTGTTATGCTGCTGGTGCCTGTGTCCCACGCTCTTCATTCCTGGTGCCTGCCCCAGAGCTCCCCGTTCCTGCCCCTCCCCCACTTCCATTTAAAAAGCCTCCCCAAGCCAGAGCCTCCATTTAGAAGGTTGCTGGAAGCAGAAACTTCTTCCCAGCAGCCACTTATTGGGGCCAGTGTGCGGCAGGGGTCCCAGCAGTGCCCTCTGTTGGGGAGCTCATGCATGCTCATGCAGCGTGATGTACAGCTTGGCTTTTCGGGAGCCCGCCGGGCCAGTCGCCAACCCCACCCACCCAAATACCACGATCACCCTGGCTGGGGGCATGTTTTTAAGACGCTGTTCGAATCTTGTGCAAAGATTACAGAGGCAAACACAAGGCACAAGACACTGTCCCCTCAGGGGCAAGAGCCCGCCTCTCCTCCCACTGTCCTGGAATGGGCCTGGGAGCCCATCTCCCTTGCAAAGCTGGGCCTGCTGCAGCCTGTGCCACTCTCCAGCAGCTTTGTGCTGTGCCCTGCAGGTCCCAGATTTGGGCTGTGTCACACCAGGGCAGGCAGGCGAGAACTCGCAGGTCGCTGCCTGCCACCGCTCCCCCCTTCCCAGAAACCAGGAAGCTGCTAGCTTGAGCAGCCCTCGTATCGCCTGGGCAGAGGAGCAGCTGGAGTGGGTCTAAGAGCTGCAATCCTCCACAGGGCCTGGGAGGCCAGGTGGCTCCAAAGTGCTGACCTGGGGAGGAGCTGGGCTGCAGCAGGGACACTTGCCCTGGCTGGCTTCTGTAGCTTTCACACCAGCCCATCTGCCCAGCATCTCATGCTGGCCAGCTCCTGGCCCTTTGGGAGCAGCTGTGACAGCTCTCGATCTGCTGACACTTGGGTGATAATTACCCTGTGGGAGGCCATGCTGCTGAGAGGAGATGCCCCCTAAAAACCATCTGGTATGTGCCTGGAGCCAAATGCTGCTGCATGCTTCACCTCTCCAGCTGGGGAGGGGTTGGCATGTGCAGGTTGTGGGGGTGTTGTGAACTTCCTGCTCCTCCTGGCCATAGCCCAGCTTGTGCAGCTGTCCCTCTGCCCCTTCCTGAGATCAAGTGCTCTGCCCTGTCCTTGGGGAACCCTGTGCAGGAGCTCAGACCTTCCCTTAGTCTGACAGGGGCTGGCCCCATCTCTGCTGGGGCAGGGCTTCAGACTCGGCCCTGGTAACCCAGTGTCTCTCTGCTTGGCACGTTGAGTATGTGAGCCGCTGCCCAAGGAGCAGGGAGCAGAAAGACGCCAGCGTCCTGCTCAGAGAGAGCATTCTCGGGGGGAATCTCAGGTGCAGCTTGGAATGGTGCTAGTTACTGTGTCCTGGGGATCTCTGGCCAGGTGCGAGAGCCGGTTGTGTATCTGGGGTGCCTGGGGGAGTCAGGTGTGGGGGTTTTCAGTGCCCTCAGGCCCCATAGAGGTCTCTGCCCCAAGGAACTCTGGGCACAGAGGCTGGGGCAGAGCAGAGTGAGGGTGAGATCGATTTTATACATGTGCACTTGCAATCTCTGTAGCTGCTGCCCTGATTAAAGCACAGCTTTCCCAAAGTGATCGGTAGCTGAGTTCCTTAGATCCCAAAGCCGGCGGCAGGGGAGAGGGGGTGGGCGGCATTGGAATGGTCTAGTCTGCCCTGCAGCATAGCACAGGTCAGAGACCTGCCCCCCAGTAATTCCTAGAGCCGATCTTTTCTTGATTGGGTCACTGTCAGTGATGGAGAATCCACCACCACCCTGGGGAAATGGCTCCAGTGGTTAATTACTCTCCCGGTTAAACATTCCTGCCTTATTTGTTTAGATTCAACTCCTTGCTGTTGGATCACGTTAGATCTTTCTCTGCTAGATTGAAGAGCCTAGTATTAAACTTCCTCAGGCGGGTCCTTAGACTGATCAGGTCACCGCTTAACCTGCTCTTGGCGAAACTAAACACATTGAGCTCTTGGAGTCTGTCTCTACAAGGCAGGTTTTCTAACTCTTTAATCATTCCCGTGGCTCTTCGCTGACCCCTCTCCAGTTTATCGACATCCTTCTTGACCTGTGGCACCAGACGTGGACAAAAGATACCAGCAGTGGTCATCCCAGTGCCAAATCCAGAGGTCAAATAACCTCTTGACTCCTACTCAAGATCCCTATTTATACCTCCCACAATTGCATTAGCTCTTTTGGCCAACAGGCTGTTGGCATGAGAGGATGTAGCACAAGGTGGCATGAGCTGGGTGACACATCAGCGGCTGGGTCCAGATAGCATGAGCAGACATAAGGGCTATGGGCTAGGTGGCCTGAGGCTCTGGAGTTGAACTGGAAGAAGAAAGGTGGTGGTTCTCTTCCAAGCTCCATCCACATGGGGCGCCGCTCGCAACAGATTGTGCAGATGTTCCGCATCTGGTCATGTATGCTCTCTCGGTGGTGCAGGGGCCAGGAGCTTGATTCCTTTTTGACTGAAGAAAAAAATAAGTGAGGGTATCTTCCAAGCCCACCCACTCATGGTGCTAAAATGAACCATCATTAAAGCGGATGGGCAAATCTGTTTTGGTACGCTCCTTTCTCTCCTTATGTTTATCATCTGACGAGCAGTGGCCTAGTTAGCATTTAACTCAGCTGATGCTACTGTAACACCAAGGGACGTGAATGGGATGTTCACTCCTCTGCCGCCTACAGACTTGGCAGGTGTCACTGCCTCAATTATGCTCACATCACGTTTTCAAGATTTCATTGCAGCCGTAACAGCTAGAGACTTCCCTTTTGTTAATGAAAGCCAAGACTTTGGAGGACAAATAGCAACTTGGGAATGTTGCTCGCACACCATCCCACCACATACCATGCCCATCCAAGCTGGGAAGGGGCAGGCATAAATGGCACAGGCTGTGTAGTGCTGAGGGCTTGCTACTTCTGCACTGGGGACTGGAGGGTGCAAAGCAGTCCCTTGAGCACAGAGAGGTCAGGTGCCTGGCGGAGGGGAGAGGGCAAGCGGAACAGTAGCAGAGCTGCCTGGAGGGATCTGTACTGCATGGCGAGGTGCTAGCAAAGCCCCCCGGAGAGGCTGTTGACTACAGACTGATGGCCACAGAAGGGAGCAGTGTCATGGAGCAGTGTCTGGCTGGCTAAGAGACAGAAACCAGTAGGGATAAAGGAAAGGAGTACTTGTGGCACTTGTGGGTTAGCTCTCAGAGCGGGTAACACAAATCTCTGTCCTAGGACTAAGATTGTGAATGTAGGGCACATCTACACTTAAAGTGGTCCAGTGGGGCATCGTAGACACTACCTACACGCACGGGAGGGCTTCTCCCATCGCCGTAGACAATCCATCTCCCCGAGAGGCGGTCGCTAGGTTGATGGGAGAATTATTCTGTCAACTTAGTGCTCTCTACCCTGGGAGCTAGGTCGGCTTAGCTCCGTCCCTCTGGGGGTGGATTTTCTGATGTAAATTCTTGTGCAGACCAGGCTTCGGACACTTCACTGGGTTCCCTCTGGGAAAGACCCGGGCATCGCTGTGGACAGCTTAGTGTGCATTGGTGATCAAACCAGCAAGGAGGCTGCATAAGGACCAGGAGGGAGAATAATATTCCAGTGCCCTCATCTGACTGACGACCGGTATAGAGAAGGTAGCTGGGGTGCTGCCATGCACCTTTTCCCACATACAACAATGAGGGGGAAATTGAAAGGAGGCA